TGCAACAGACTATGGCAAAACATTTTTCAGGTCTTAATCCCTCTTTCCTTAGGTCCTTGCACCTGGGCCCCTCCACTGAGTCCTACCAGGTTGGCTACAGTCTCCCTTCTAATAACATTCCAGGGCTCCTTGTTTTCTTCCAGACAGGAGACCAGAATGGGCTTACACACAGCACAACCTATGTATGAAAAAGAGGTGCATGTGCTTGCTGGATTCTTTAGAAAGTATGTGATTTCTATCACAGCACTGTGCTCCACTGGAAATACAGAGAATAAGAGATGACTCTCCAACTAATTTCTCAATATCTATTTTAGGACAGACTCATTAGAATATAGAGGAATTCTTTCAGTTTTCATACACTGAGTTCTATCAACGATTCAAAATGCAGCTATGGAAATGGAACCTTAAGATTCTGGCTGCAGTATCATGTATTAATGGGAGGCTGAAATCAACTCCAAAAATAATGAACAATAATAATTGCTCTATAATAAAAAAATAATTCCTCTAACAAGTGGAAATGATGCACAGATATACCCAATACTCTAATTCGTAAATTTAAGGAATCCAAGACCTACACAGCAAAACTAATGTTTCTACAAAGTAGACTGTTGTCTATGAAAGGATGGAGAACAGTAAAAATACTGATAGAAAAATCTCCTCACCTACAGACACTGGATTGCTGTAGTTCTCCAAAATCACCTCCCTGTACAAAGCCCTCTGAGCAGAGTCTAGGTATTCCCACTCCTCCTGGGAGAAGGCAATGGACACATCCTTGAATATCAGTGGATCCTAAAATGAAAAATATCAATGAGACCATGTGCACTCAAACAGGGTACTGGACCCAAGAAAGAAAGAAATAATGAGTAAACAACTTCTGAATTAGAGGAGAAATCTGAATTATTCAAAATGACATATAAGTCTTTTCATGAATTCAATCTGGTGTCTGCTTATAACCATGCACTGTAGTCATAGGTAAAATATAGATTTTTACCTTAACATGATCTGTGGCTGGGCCTGACTTTACCCTTTCCTAACAGACTTTGCAGTGGGGTCAGCAACCCTGGCACAAAAGACACTTTCTCCAAGAGCACTGAATAGAACATGGTGGAAGATAAAGAACTATGTGTGCTCTCCCTCCACAGCAAGAAGACACAATCCTTGTAAAGAAAATCCTATGCCATGCATGTAATGTAGAAAGTACAGAAACAGCAGTGCATAAGTAGTCTAACAATACTTTTATAGTGATTTCTTCTTTTCTCCTCATTTACCTACCTAAAATTTACCATGAAACAACACACTAACTGACTTATGCACACCACAGTAAGAGAATCTGAGAACTGGGCTCCTCACTGAGGATAAATGGAAACATGAAGACAAGATCCACTGACTCAACATTGTTCGTGTTGTGTATACAAATGATTACAAAACCTGAGAACTATATGTGTGGAACATTTGCTAAAGGAAGCTCTTTTCTGAGGATCAAAGAACCAGTAATGGAGGCAGTGCTGTGACAGAGTGTGAAGTAGAAATACCCACAGAGAGAAAGAGGCCTGCTTCAGAATCTCCACCTGGAAACTCAGGATTTAGCAAACAAGTGAGAAAGGTTTCTTTTTCCAAAGAAAGGAAGAGAACTACAGTGATAAAAGGAGAGATCCTGCAGTAAATGTCATGATTCACGTGCTTCACTCTGTAAACTACCAGGAGAAAACTTATTCCTAATAAATTAAAAACAATGTCAAAGTCTGGGATTTGCTGTAGAGCAGCTCAACCAAGGGAATCAACTCCCAGGAGACAAAATACTGGCATCAATACAGCCAGCAGCACATACAATTGGACCAGTGATGTGGGTGGGATTAAATGTTGAGCAATGTAATACAAGAATAATATAAAACAAAAATATCTTTTATGTACAATTCAAACAACGATACAGTGGCTTACGAGGACCCAAGTCCACCCTCCTTAGGAACTGAAGACTGATATGTCTGAATTTTCACCTATCAAATCAGAAACATTTTTGATTAGGTTTGTCATGAATTCATTGGAATAGTCTGGAAAAAATAAGCATTGGAGGACAAAATGGAGAGGTGGACATGCTACATAGGTGGTCCATATGAAGAGTTAAGGTGGCCCGAGCATGGTGGAGCAGGCCTTTACTCCCAGGACTCAAGAGGAAGAGGCATGAGGATCTCTGTGAGATCCAGGCTAGCCTGGTCTACATAGCTAGTTTCTGGATCAGAAAAGGTTACAAGTTCAAAACATCAAACATTTAGAGAAAGAAGTGTATTGGGTGAAGGCCCCTGGATGTATTGACCTGTAAAGAAGCCATCTCTCTCCTGCTTCTGTGAGTTTCCTTTCCAGGCAATCTTACATAAACTGTCTTCTCTTTCTTTCAAAATCTTCCTTTCAGTTCACTGAATATCCACTTCACCTACCAATATAGCAAGAGGAAGAAGCACCTCAGAAAACAAAACAGGTCGTTCTCACTGTCTGCCTTCACAGTAGATGTGTGGGAAGAAAGAGCTCAACATGGAGACCCCATTGAACTTAGCTGCTTTCTTGCCTTTCAGTGGCCGCCCTGCCAACAAGATCAAGAATTCCTACTACATTCATGGGAATGCAACCACCTCACCTCCTTACCTAAACAAGGCAGAGTAACACAGTTTTCATCCTTTGGAATAGAGGCTACACTAAGCTTTCCTTCAGAAGCACTGGCAGCTGACCCCCAGCCTCACTGTCTTCTGCCTGTGACTGTTAATGAAACAGCACTGATGCTTCTACTGAGCTTCACAGACAGAATCTGTGGGGGAGGCACAAGGGAGAGTTTTTCTTTTAAAGGCTAAAGCTCAAGAGTCCTTCATTGTGGGTTTTAAAAGTCTATTCTTGGGGCTGGAGAGATGGCTCAGAGGTCAGTAATACTGGCTGCTCCTGCAGAGGACCTGAGCTCAGTTTGCAGAACCCACATGCTGCCAACAAGTGTACGTAACACCTGTTCCAGGGGTTCCCACACTGTCTTCAGGCCTCCACAGACATGGCTCACATGGCTACCCTTACACACATGCAAGCACAACATTCCTACACATGAAATAACTTTTAATAAAAATGCAATCTTTATTGTGTGATGAAATGATATTTTATATACTTATGAGGTATCCCTGATATTTTGTTAGACATATACACAGGAGATTGATTTAGTAAGTTATTGATATATCCACATGTAAATTTTATATGATCCTAGACAAAGAACAGTAGAGCTTAGTTAAAGCATGAAGCCATCACCTGTTTCTCTTACCCCACATTCTCCGCATTCCCTGCAAACTATTGTACCTTCAATGTCTATCACCTATCTTTTCTTTTTCTATTTCTCTTATAGTTGAGATCATGTAGTGTTTGTGTTTCAACTTCCTTTACCTGGTGAAGTGTCCACCAGATCAATCCTGTTCTCAAGTATCTGAATATCCCACTCTTTTCTATGACCAAATTGTGGTGGATTCTATAGAAATATCACATTTCAATGAATCGTTCATTTCTTAATGGACATTTAGTAGATTCCATATTCCTCAAACAATGCTGCCATAATTGGGAAGTGACTATATCTCCAGGCCACACTGAATTCACTTCCTTTGAGCATCCAGGATTTGGTGGTAGGAGCTGCACTAGAGAGAGAACACCTGTGACTTGTTCTTTGGCATCTGGTTGATCTCAGTACAGCCATTTCGAGCTCCATCCATTCACTGAAAACTCCATGACTTCCTTTTCCTCTACCATTCAGTAGAGCTCCAGAGTGTAAATGTACCAAACTTACTGAGGGACATGTAGGTTGGGCATCAAATTCAAAAGAAAGCAGAACAGAAACTTTTTTTTTTTTTAAACTCAGATTGATCATGTACTTAACTGAAACATTAAATGTGTCTCTTCTGATGACTTGGGAGGGCTTTGGTTGAAATTAAGTTTCTCAAATTCTTGAAATTTCATGTTGAAATTTTGAATTTCAATACTGAAGGAGCAGTTGCTTTAGAATAATTAGACTTACAAGGCAATGCTCAGTCTCAAAACTGTCCTGTGAAATTTCCTCCAGTATATACATTTTAATATGAGAATTCATGAAGTAATAAATAAATGTGTTAATAGTCAATTTCAATAATGTATGTAGAGAACAAAATATCACATTACACCTCCTAAATACATATAGTTCTTCTTTGTCAAAAATTAATATTATCAGGCTGGAGAGATGCTTCAGCAACAATGGCTGCTCTTGCAAAGGACCTGGATTCAATTCCCAGCACCCAGATGGCTACTAATAAACACCTGTAACTCCAGTTCCAGGGGATCTGATGCCCTATTCTGACCTCAGTGAGCATTGCCTGGCACAGGTGCATTTATATACATGCAGGAAATACACTCATACACATAAAATAAAAATAATAAGTAAAAATATTTAAAAATTAGTATTAAAAAGTAGAAGCTGTCCCATAACATTGCATTTTAATTTATGGATGTCTGACTCCCTGTCTCAAAATGCAATTTCTAGTAATTGATGATAATGTTTTTCCACACTTGCAAATTGTGCAGGGGGGTGTCCCACAGGGCCACCTATCTGTTGAGTGTGTTTCTGGATATCACCATCACCCCCAGGATCCAGGTGGTCATAGCTTAATGCACAAGACACCAACACACTTAATGCTCTAGCACCCTTGTATTCCTGTGCTGGGTGGTTCATGATGTGAGCCTTTAGAAAGGACCTGGATTTCTAACACAGTAGTGAGCTCAATAGATAAAGAGAGAACACGACAGGGAATTCTACCAATGACTCTCCAATTGGAATATTCTGTCAGAACACTGATATTTAAGGAGATTCTTCAGGTTGCATGACTAGTGTTCTACCTCTAATTACAGCTCAACCCAAATTCCAGGTTGGAAACGGAACTTTGTGAATGAGTGGCAATATTATATTGTATAATTTCTGAATTGACCATGGAACAAAATGAAATAAGCACAACCCCTCCCAATGGACAAAGATGAGAACAGACACAATTACATTACAGTGTTCTTTTCTCCTCTGAGAATTTCACTTTATGAGATGTGACATTCTCTCACACAGACTTAACACACACATACAAGCACACAGCTGTTCAACAAAGAAGTCTGAATGTGAGTAAGGAATTCTTTAAGAGAAACTTTCTCACCCACAGAAATGAGAGCTGCAAATCTCTGCTGTCAGGTCTCTGTATAAAGTCCTCTGAGCAGGATCTAGGCACTCCGTCTCCTCCTGCGAGAAGTCCTCAGCCACTTCACCAAATGTCAACACACCAGAAAATGAACAATAACAGTTTGACCATCTGTCCACAGGCAGATTGCTTTTCTTGAATCAAGGAGACCGAAGAGAATGAGAGGAATTTTTGATGTAGGGATGTTTTCTGACACTGTCATATTCTCTAATGTGTTTTCTAACTGTGGAAATAGTACGGCAGAATATCCTCATGCTCAGCATGCATACTGTTTGTTTCTTTGGACTACAGGATCTAAACTTAAGATCTCCACATAAGAATATACATTTTAATCCTGGATTAATATTATAAATTATATATTTCAGATGAAATATTAATGTTTATACCTGTGGGTGTCCAATAAAATACATGTTCTGATTCTCTACAATCTAGAATCAATCGTTCTGGAACTAATTCTAAGAAGTTCTCTAAACATGGCAAGACCCCTGGCCCAAACGCCACTCCCTTAGATACAGAAAAGCAGAACATGGAAATTAGAATACATGGATGAATTTAAACTGGAAGAGCTTTGTTTTTCCACAACAGCAAGGGGAGGTACCATTGATATAGGGTAATTCCTATACACTGGCCATCACTCTGTCATATTTGCAAACATCAGCACATTAATTCAAGTAGTGCACACAAGCCTGGTGTTGGAAAAGGCCTTTAACCCTAGCACTCTGGAGGCAGAGGCAGAGGCTTGTTGGATCTTCGTGAGTTCAAGGCCAGCCTGGTCTGCATAAATGAGTTTCAGGCCAGCTGGGAAAACAGGAAGATCTTGACTGAATATAAAAACCTTTAATAATCTAAATCAAAGACAATGCACAGGACAAGGTACCCGCAACCGAATTTGGGGACCTGCGATCCTTGCTGTAAAGTAAGCATAAATAATGTTTAAATCCTGGGTGAGTTTCGCTGACCGCCTCTGCTTGGAGGCCCCAACTCTGGCAGCACAGTGTTCAGAGCCACGCCGATCACATGACCAGGAGTCTTTCAAAACGCCCGTGGTTGGGCCCACACTCTCCTCTGACCTGCTGGGCCCTCGCCGACCCACCCCGCATCAGCTCTGCACCAACCTCTCCGCCGTGGTTCCACTGGCCGCAGTGAACTTCTGCATCCCGCCAAGACCCCTTCCGCTTCCGCCACCTCAGGGTCCACACCAACCTGCTCCGGTGTGGAGTGCGCCCTAGTTTTTCAGGCCCTCAATACCCCAGGATCCTGCCACACCCGGGAGCCTCTAGGCCAGGGCTCTGACCCCGCCCACTCCGTCCCAAGTTCCGGTTGCCTCACTCTTCCGACTCCACCCATGCCACGCCCCTTCTCTACTCACATTGACTTTGCTCCAGTTCTTTAGTCTCTAACTCCTCTGACACAGGTGACTGTCCCCGACCCATTCAGACCCCGCCCCTTGCACACTCTACTAAATCCCAAACAAGTGGCTCCAGCTGTCAGTCTAGTCCAGGACTCAGTAAGCAGCCTCTTTCTTTACAGGGTTGCTGTTAGCATAGACCACACCTGGACCTAGTAAGACACCCTATGCCCCTACCTAGCACCCCAGCCTGGTTTCAGTCCTCTTGAGACACCCCCAAAGACACCCAGCCTGAACCCTCACCTTGGGATTCCACACCCCTGGGATAAAAAAAAAAAAAAAAGTTAAAGTCGACAAACACCCTAGATATACGCAAAGCCCATCCCCCAAATACTAAAACTATGATAAACCAAGAAAATATGTCCCCCCACCTCCCACAGAGGCTCAGGTCTACAGGTGGATGTTGAAATGAATGAAGGCAAAGGAGCCAACTCTCAGGTCAAGAGAGGCAAGTTTAATTCTAAAAGTGGCTCTTTATACCTAAGAGCAGGATCAGTCAAGGATACAGCATGCAAACCATAAATCAAGCAATGCTCAAAGTAAAATGCTGTTCTTCTTTTCTCTTACTAACCAAACCAAACCCTTTGCCAGAGCTCCAGTCCATGAGAAAGGAAAACACAATCTCATCCGTTATCATTCTTGCTGTTGCAAGGCAGGGTTCTGCCCTTGAGGCTAGGAGGTAATGTTCCACCAATGTCCAGTCACTTGCTTTCAAAAGACAGCTAGATTCTATCTTGTCCTTGATTCACATTCTACAGAACTGAGCTCCATCATCCCCCACCCCTAAGAAAAAGCACCAATTCCATAGCAACGCTCCCTAAGAGTGCAATTTAAAAGAAATGTAAGATACAGAACTCAAAAAGAACCACACATATGTACAGGGAGTTCAAAGCATATTGTTATGAAAATTACCCTGAGGCTGACCCCGACAGGGGAGAAGAATCAAAGATATTCAATAAGCAGAGGAAGTTTATCCTTGGCTACATGACAGCTAACCTGCTCCAGAGATATTGAGGCACAGAACAGAAATACATACAGGTTTTTATAGGATATTTTATATCTTCTCTTGGCAGTAATCATATTGGTGGATTTGAGACTTCCAAAGTATAGGTGATCCTTAAATTATTATATGAAACTTAACCAGTCAGAATTTCTACAAAAGCAGGTATTTCAGGCAAGTGTGCGCAAGGATTCTGACATTTGCAGTATCATGCTCTATTGCTGAGGCCAGAAGAATTGCAGCTACTTGAATAGATAAGACACACAGCAGCTAATATTTCTTCAAGACCACTGCAAAAGGCAGCATCCTTCAAGGCACTCAAAGACTATGGTTTTTGTCAATTTGTCTGTCTTGTCCTGTGACAGCTTAAAGCTTAAAGTGGGAAGTAGGTATTACATGAAATTCACAAAAACTCCATAAATATATTACAAATCAAAAAAGAAGAAATTAACAAATAAGAAAATAAATAAGGAACTAAGAAATTGAAAAAAATAAAGATAAAACAGAATTCATCAAGTATGGTGACATCTTCACAGAGTGTTAAGGTCAGTGCCAGGTTATCAAAGTCATCCATGAGGACTGGGGTGACACAGACATGCTGGGATGTTTTAACAAGCAAGAGACTTTGGCTGTGGAAGACATTTCCCTTTACAAATGGGCCCAAAGGTCTAACAAACAAAAGAACAAATCAATCTGAAATAGTGTAACAAGCATGTTACAAAGTTTGAGGTAAAACTAAAAATATTAAGATTAAAAGAACAGCCAGTTGTGGTAAATGCCTTTAGCCTTTAATCTTAGCACTGAGTAGACAGAGGCCTGAGGATCTCTGCATTCAGGGCCAGCCTGGTCTACATAGCAAGTTCTAGGCTATCTGGGGCTAAGGGAGACCCCGTGTCAAAAAGACAAAAAAAAAAATATCAAAAGAACAATACAATGAATTAATGTGGAAGAAAATTACACCCATGAAGAGACAAGCACAGTGACAAACCATTTTTCATCTAAGAAGAAGAGATAGAACACCTGAATTAAATAGATGGAGTTGAAAAGGGAGATATTTCAATATGTCAATAAAATATTCGCTATTTTTATGGAGTAGCTTGGAAAATCATATGCTAATAAATTGGAAAGTCTGGAAGAAAAGCATGAGTTCTTAGAAAAAGATGAAACTTTCTATGAACTTTCTATGAAAATAG